TTTAAGTACCCCAAAAAATTTAGCCTCTACAGTTTAGTCTTTGGTTATCTTCATATTCAGTCATTGTCTTTTGTCAAGTAGCCAATGTGGTCCACAAGGTGGTTAGCCTGTGTGGCCCAAGCGATCAAGTGGCCCAGTCAACTGGCTAACCCATTTTTTCAAACTGCTCTACTTAGCACTTTCATGAACAGGATTTTTGACAACCCAAAAAGATACTTAGGCTTTAACTACATTATGCACCCTTTAGCGACACAGCTGTGCCGCTACTCTTGTGCTCACAGTTTAGCTGCCGTTTGTCAGTAGGAGAGCGCTTTTCGTCAGTAACATTTCTGTCGTGACAGGGGGAGAGGGAGTTAAACACCCCTGAACAACAAAAGGTTTGCTGACCAAGTTCCAGTGCAGACAAAACCTTAGATGACAATCCTGTTTTAGGAGATTGTTCTGCTAGGTCAGCAGCTCTGGTTCAGATCTAGGTCTTCATCAAAGCAGCAGCAGCTGTTATGCTGAAGACCTGTTCTTTAACAAAGTTCCCCTTCTTTTGTAAAAGATTTTCTAATGCAACAAATCCTCCTCAAGTAGCTAACTCCATGTATCAGGTTAGCCCTCAGTTCCGACCCAGAGAACATTAATGGGGCATATAAGAAAGATGGTATTCTACTCCTCTCTTAAATCATACCAGGCAGCTTTCACATATTACAAAAACTGAGATCAAATGTAAATCATATTTTCCCTCACTCAGCTATAGCACATAAATTAACATTGACCATAACTTAATCCTTATTTCATCTTGTTAATTAACCAATTTATATTAGCCAAGAGAGAGATCTAAATTATCACTACGCACAAATTGTACAGTTTGTATGTTTTAAGATAGAAGGGTCCAAAAAATTATGGCACTAAAAATGTGAATTTGGGAGCCAACTTTTAACTGATAGATTTTCTTGAAACTCCCCCAAAAATTCAAGTCTGATTTTGAGATTACGTGCTGAACTTTCGGTCATTACACTGTTTTCCTATAAAAGAGGCTGAACTCTTGCTTTAGGTGTGAAACCGAACATAATCTTAATTATAGCACCACCACAGATAAACAACAGTACTACTGAAATTTAAGTCAGTTTTCACCACAGTACACTAACAATTGTGAACCTAAACAAACAAAAATACCAGCACACAAATATATCCTTGTAGCTTTTCAATCTATCATCAGTATAGCTGAAGCCAGATCTACTCAGTTATTTTTAAATTTGAGTTCATATTTAAAAAAAAAAAAATCAAGCACTGACAGCCTGCTAGAAGAGATTTATGGAAGTTTCGATTTTTACCAGTTGATCTTGATTAAGGCGCTCTCCCTTGTTCATTCGATCCTGGTAATCATCGAGTTTGCCCTAGGGGGAAAAATAAATGCTTTTATGTTTTGGGTACTACAAGTCATAAAGAGTTAACCACAACAGAAGTGAGTTATGTTACGGTTCCTCCCATGTTTGTCACAATACCTATTTTATATGAAGTTACACTGTAACACAAGGTGCAAACGGACATGATTATGAGCTTTGTATGTAAATACCTGCACTCATTTTACATTTAAAAATACACTTTTACACGGAGGAAGTATTTTAATCTCACTTATTCTGTTACTATAATGCACATCTTAGTGACCTTTCTTGCAACCAACAGAAAGTTACTTTGCATCAGCACTGAAAATGACCTGCAAAGAAACACAACTGGGCGTGTGCGCCCTGTTTAGTTTCATGGTGCATAAAGACAACACAAAGCTTTCTTCATTTTTGTTTTTCACACAGACTACTCAGGGTCTATCTGCTCTGGGAGACTCTAAAGAACAAGAACCAGAGAAATACATCACAAGTACCAAGAAAGTGAAACCTAATTAACTGGGAGGAGGCAATTTTTATTTATGCTGTTTAAACATTTATTTTTGCTAACATTCATTTTCCTAATATTTGGATTCAACACCTCCCCTCCAGTTATGGGCTGAGAAAACTGTCAATCCATATGTGACTTTATTAAGTCCTCAAGTAAACCATGAAGGACCAGACCAGACTTAACATTCCTCACATTTAATGTAGGACACCTCTATACATCGAAGACACACAGAGCACACACACATTTTCTTTTGCTGGTGACTTAAGAGTTAAGTCAGATAGGCAAATATCTTCTAATTCCTTTGTGTTCATTTCCTGCTAACCCAAAGAGTGAGGAACCAAGCTCAGCCCTGAACTAAAAATCTTATGCACTGCACTAAACGGCCAGAGATATGACTCCAAAAGAAATGAGACTCCAAAACCAAGCTTGGTAAAGTCAAACCAATACTCTTCAGAAGCAAAATATTTAATGTAGCTAGGTAACTGCTTACTGTCCCTTATCACTTAGTTTACAAAACAAAAATCATTAAAGTACTTCCTAAATTCGGTGTGTGCAAACTACAACCCACAGGCCGTATCCGGCCCGCCAGCTGTTTTAATCCATCCCTCAAGCTCCCACTAGAGACCAGGGTCTGGGGCGTGCCCTATTCTGGCACTCCAGCCGGGAAGCAGGGTCAGGGGCCATTCCACATGGCTCTTGGAAGCAGCGGCATGGCCCCCTTCCAGCTCTTCAGCCGGGTAGCAGGGTTGGGGGCCGTGCCACATGGCTCCCAGAAGCAGTGGTATGCCCCCCCCCCAACCCCGGCTGCTACACATAGGGTCAGCCAGGGGGCTCCGCTCCACACGTTGCCCCCACACCAAGCACCGCCCCCGCAGCTCCCATTGGCTGGGAACCGCAGCTAATGGGAGTGCAGGGGCAGTGCCTGCAGATGGGGCAGCATGCAGAGATGCCTGGCTGCACCTCTGCATAGGAGCCAGAGAAGGGACATGCTGCTGCTTCCGGGAGTCGCTTGAGGTAAGCACCGCCCAGAGCCTGCACCCAAGCCTCTCCCTGTGCCCTAACCTCCTTCCCTGTGAACCCCCCAGACCCAGCCCAGAGCACCCTCCTGCACCCCAAACCCCTCATCCCCAGTCCCACCCCAGAGCCCAGACCCCCAACCGGAGCCCTCACCTCCCCCCCACACCCCACTCCACCACGTCAGCCCAGAGCTCACTCCCGCAACCTGAACTCATTTCTGCCACGCCCCCCCCCAGGAGCCCGCACCCCCAACCAGAGCCCTCACCACCACCCCCTGCACCCCAACCCCAACTTTGTGAGCATTCATGGCCCACCATACAATTTCTATTCTCAGATGAGGCCCTCGGGCCAAAGAGTTTGCCCACCCCGACCTAAATGATACACGAGCCATGTAATAAACATACTTATCAAATATAAAGAAATGCCTATTTTGTCAAAAAGAAAACTGCCGTAATAGAGCTAGAAGATGATAAAAATGGTCGACAAGAGTCAATATTTCAAAGTGCAGTAATTTTTAGTGGCATGTAACTCAAGTCAAATGGTAACTTCTCTTCAAACTTCAAAAATTCCCCTTCTGCCTTTAGAATTTAGCAATTCTTAGAAAAAGGTAGTCATCCCAAGACAATTACAGAGACCTAAAATAGTAACCAGTTTTTATTAAAGATGTTGTAATTATGGATTCAACACTTTAATCTACACTCATATCTTTACCAATTGCTATAAAGCTTTGAAGACTATGAAAATTTACAGATATTAAACTAGTGCTTGCCCACACAATTCAGATTAATGTTTGTGAAATACAACACACTGGGAAAGATATTGCCTTGAACAATCAAAATTCAAGTCCAACTTTTTCTTTTTTTTTTTTTTTTTTTTTTTAAACAACCAAGGAATATCCTGATAGCCATAATACCAAAAAGACCACCACAAAAAACACACAATTTTTTTGGGGGGGATAATCACTGCAAAGAATATTCTAGTTACAAGTTATAGTCTATTTATTTTAAAGAACAGGGCTTTTTAGTTTTAGTCAACTGTCAGTTGTTCTTAAAATTGGAAGGTCACATATCTTGGGAATATAAGATTAATACTACACAAAACTATTTTTAGTCACTTGAATTTAAGGTTTTATTCATGTGAATCAAAATACAGTTCTGAAAAGTTAGTCCCAAAAGGACAAATTTCCAGTGAACGTTTCCCCCTTTTATATTTTGTCACTAACCCTACTACTTAGCACTACATATGTAGGTAACCCATGATGGAACTTTTGACACCAAAGGATTTCTCTGTCTTCACTTAGATACAGGCAGTGAAGCCAACGTTGGGATACTGGTTGCTGCTGATGCAGCTTTAGCAACCCGAGGACCCCCATTTTGATATAAAAATTTTCACAGATCCAACCCCCCCATCCCACCTCTTCCCACCCCTCACTCCACCCCTGCCCCTTCTGTTCCCCACCTCTTTCTGCCCCCTCCCCACTCCTCCTCCTCCTCCCAGCGCCTCCTAGCACACCACTGAACAGCTGTTCCCTGGCATGCAGGAGGCACTGGAAGGGAGGGGGAGGGGCTAATCAGTGGGACCTCCCTGGATCTGCGGACCGCAGTTTGAAAAATGTCGCTTTAGATAGAAGCATTGTAAAAGGTAATACAGGTTAAATCTTAATTTCCCTAGCTCCATTTTTAATACCATCTGAGGCTATTATAACTGGAAAAATTTTTGAAGTTTAATTTATTTTTCAGTGACTTTCAAAATTTTACTATATTTGTCCATGGAACTGTTTCCATTAGAATTCTAAAAATTGACAAACATTTGATTTTGTAAAAAAAAAAAAACAAACAAACCACCACTACTTGTTTTTACTAGATGTATGTTTTGGGCTAATGATGACCAAATAGTCACTTTAAAGTTATATACTGGGAAAAGGCCTGTTGGATCCAACCTCATAACAGCAAACTTGGTCTTAAAATTCTATTCCTTTCAAGTCTACATAGACCTAAAAGTTAATGTATTCATATATCTGGAATTTTCATTATTTCTATATGACTGAGCGTATTTCATGAAGTTCGCCATGAAAAGCTGTTTGGAGATCTGGATTCAACCTACTACTTCATGTCCTCTCAGTTTTAAATTCCAGAGTAAACTAAAGGAATCACTAAGCCCTGGTCTACACTAGGACTTTAGGTCAAATTTAGCAGCGTTAAATCGATTTAAACCTGCACCCATCCACACAATGAAGCCCTTTATTTCGACTTAAAGGGCTCTTAAAATCGATTTCCTTACTCCACCCCTGACAAGTGGATTAGCGCTTAAATCGACGTTGCCGGCTCGAATTTGGGGTACTGTGGACACAATTCGATGGTATTGGCCTCCGGGAGCTATCCCAGAGTGCTCCATTCTGACCGCTCTGGACAGCGCTCTCAACTCAGATGCACTGGCCAGGTAGACAGGAAAAGAACCGCGAACTTTTGAATCTCATTTCCTGTTTGGCCAGCGTGGCAAGCTGCAGGTGACCATGCAGAGCTCATCAGCACAGGTGACCATGATGGAGTCCCAGAATCGCAAAAGAGCTCCAGCATGGACCGAATGGGAGGTACGGGATCTGATCGCTGTTTGGGGAGAGGAATCCATGCTATCAGAACTCCGTTCCAGTTTTCGAAATGCCAAAACCTTTGTCAAAATCTCCCAGGGCATGAAGGACAGAGGCCATAACAGGGACCCGAAGCAGTGCCGCGTGAAACTGAAGGAGCTGAGGCAAGCCTACCAGAAAACCAGAGAGGCGAACAGCCGCTCTGGGTCAGAGCCCCAAACATGCCGCTTCTATGATGAGCTGCATGCCATTTTAGGGGGTTCAGCCACCACTACCCCAGCCGTGTTGTTTGACTCCTTCAATGGAGATGGAGGCAATACGGAAGTAGGTTTTGGGGACGAAGAAGATGATGATGATGAGGAGGTTGTAGATAGCTCACAGCAAGCAAGTGGAAAAACCGGTTTTCCCGACAGCCAGGAACTGTTTCTCACCCTAGACCTGGAGCCAGTACCCCCCGAACCCACCCAAGGCTGCCTCCTGGACCCAGCAGGCGGAGAAGGGACCTCTGGTGAGTGTACCTTTTAAAATGCTATACATGGTTTAAAAGCAAGCATGTGAAAGGATTACTTTGCCCTGGCATTTGCGGTTCTCCTAGATGTAGTCCTAAAGCCTTTGCAAAAGGTTTCTGGGGAGGGCAGCCTTATTTCGTCCTTCATGGTAGGACACTTTACCACTCCAGGCCAGTAACACGTACTGGGGAATCACTGTAGAACAAAGCATTGCAGTGTATGTTTGCTGGCATTCAACCAAAATCCGTTCTTTATCTCTCTGTGTTATCCTCAGGAGAGTGAGATATAATTCATGGTCACCTGGTTGAAATAGAGTGCTTTTCTTCAGGGGACACTCAGAGGAGCCCATTCCTGCTGGGCTGTTTGCCTGTGGCTAAACAGAAATGTTCCCCGCTGTTAGCCACAGGGAGGGGAGAAGGTTGAGGGGGTAGTCACACGGTGGGAGGAGGCAAAATGCGATCTTGTAACGAAAGCACATGTGCTATGGATGTAATGTTAACAGCAAGGTTTACCCTGAAAGAGTGTAGCGACTGTTTTATAAAATGTGTCTTTTTAAATACCGCTGTCCCTTTTTTTTTTCTCCACCAGCTGCATGTGTTTCAATGATCACAGGATCTTCTCCTTCCCAGAGGCTAGTGAAGCTAGAAAGAAAAAAAAACGCACTCGCGATGAAATGTTCTCCGAGCTCATGCTGTCCTCCCACACTGACAGAGCACAGACGAATGCGTGGAGGCAAATAATGTCAGAGTGCAGGAAAGCACAAAATGACCGGGAGGAGAGGTGGCGGGCTGAAGAGAGTAAGTGGCGGGCTGAAGCTCAAATGTGGCGGCAGCGTGATGAGAGGAGGCAGGATTCAATGCTGAGGCTGCTGCAGGACCAAACCAGTATGCTCCAGTGTATGGTTGAGCTGCAGCAAAGGCAGCTGGAGCACAGACTGCCACTGCTGCCCCTCTGTAACCAACCGCCCTCCTCCCCAAGTTCCATAGTCTCCACACCCAGACGCCCAAGAACGCGGTGGGGGGGCCTCCGGCCAACCAGCCACTCCACCACAGAGGATTGCCCAAAAAAAAGAAGACTGGCATTCAATAAATTTTAAAGTTGTAAACTTTTAAAGTGCTGTGTGGCATTTTCCTTCCCTCCTCCACCACCCCTCCTGGGCTACCTTGGTAGTCATCCCCCTATTTGTGTGATGAATGAATAACGAATGCATGACTGTGAAGCAGCAATGACTTTATTGCCTCTGCAAGCAATGATTAAAGGGAGGAGGGGAGGGTGGTTAGCTTACAGGGAAGTAGAGTGAACCAAGGGGCGGGGGGTTTCATCAAGGAGAAACAAACAGAACTTTCACACCGTAGCCTGGCCAGTCATGAAACTGGTTTTCAAAGCTTCTCTGATGCGTACCGCGCCCTCCTGTGCTCTTCTAACAGCCCTGGTGTCTGGCTGCGCGTAACCAGCAGCTAGGCGATTTGCCTCAACCTCCCACCCCGCCATAAACGTCTCCCCCTTACTCTCACAGATATTGTGGAGCACACAGCAAGCAGTAATAACAGTGGGAATATTGGTTTTGCTGAGGTCTAACCGAGTCAGTAAACTGCGCCAGCGCGCCTTTAAACGTCCAAATGCACATTCTACCACCATTCTGCACTTGCTCAGCCTGTAGTTGAACAGCTCCTGACTACTGTCCAGGCTGCCTGTGTACGGCTTCATGAGCCATGGCATTAAGGGGTAGGCTGGGTCCCCAAGGATACATATAGGCATTTCAACATCCCCAACAGTTATTTTCTGGTCTGGGAATAAAGTCCTTCCTGCAGCTTTTGAAACAGACCAGAGTTCCTGAAGATGCGAGCATCATGCACCTTTCCCGGCCATCCCACGTTGATGTTGGTGAAACGTCCCTTGTGATCCACCAGAGCTTGCAGCACTATCGAAAAGTACCCCTTGCGGTTTATGTACTCGGCGGCTTGGTGCTCCGGTGCCAAGATAGGGATATGGGTTCCGTCTATAGCCCCACCACAGTTAGGGAATCCCATTGCAGCAAAGCCATCCACTATGACCTGCACATTTCCCAGGGTCACTACCCTTGATATCAGCAGATCTTTGATTGCGTGGGCTACTTGCATCACAGCAGCCCCCACAGTAGATTTGCCCACTCCAAATTGATTCCCAACTGACCGGTAGCTGTCTGGCGTTGCAAGCTTCCACAGGGCTATCGCCACTCGCTTCTCAACTGTGAGGGCTGCTCTCATCTTGGTATTCATGCGCTTCAGGGCAGGGGAAAGCAAGTCACAAAGTTCCATGAAAGTGCCCCGACGCATGCGAAAGTTTCGCAGCCACTGGGAATCGTCCCAGACCTGCAACACTATGCGGTCCCACCAGTCTGTGCTTGTTTCCTGAGCCCAGAATCGGCGTTTCACAGCATGAACCTGCCCCATTAGCACCATGATGCATGCATTGTCAGGGCCCATGCTTTCAGAGAAATCTGTGTCCATGTCCTGATCACTCACGGGACCGCGCTGACGTCGCCTCCTCGCCCGGTATCGCGTTGCCATGTTCTGGTGCCGCATATACTGCTGGATAATGCGTGTGGTGGTTAATGTGCTCCTAATTGCCAAAGTGAGCTGAGCGGCCTCCATGCTTGCCTTGGTATGACGTCCGCACAGAAAAAAGGCGCGGAACGATTGTCTGCCGTTGCTCTGACGGAGGGAGGGGCGACTGACGACACGGCTTACAGGGTTGGCTTCAGGGAGCTAAAATCAACAAAGGGTGTGCCTGTACATCAAGGAGTATTTCAGGCAGGACTGCACGGAGGGTTCCAATAAGAAATGGTGCACCTAAGTTATCGTTGTTATTGGAACAAGGAGGTTAGCCTGGCCTCTGATTGATACATGGCTAGATTTACCTCGCTGCACCTTCTCTGTGAGTGACTGCAGTGTGACCTAGAGGAATGAGTCCCCTAGACAGGGGAGGAGGCAAATGAGTACAAAACAAATCTGGTCTATTTCTTGTTTTGACCCACTCCATCTATCTTTTACATCTTTGGCTGGCAGCAGACGGTGCAAAAGGACTGCATGCCATCCACATCTCATGGCTGCTCGGCAGAAGATGGTACAGTACGACTGCTAGCCATCCCCATCTCTTGCCTGCATGGCAGAAGATGGTGCAATACGACTGCTAGCAATCCTCATCTCTTGCCTGCCTGGCAGAAGATGGTACAGTACGACTGCTAGCAGTCCGTATCGCCTGCCCGCTCACCATAAGACGGTTCGATAGGACTGACTGCAGGACTAAAGAGAATGACCTGGTCAAGTCACTCCAAATTTAGTCCCTGTGCCCATGTCTGCCCAGGCGCTCCTGATCGACCTCACAGAGGCGACCAGGAGCACCTCAGACATGACGATGACGGCTACCAGTCGTACTGTACCGTCTGCTGCCACAAGGCAAGGGGTTGCTGCTACTGTGTAGCAATGCCGTACCGCGTCTGCCAGCACCCAGGAGACATAGGGTGACGGTTACCTGAGCGGGCTCCATGCTTGCCATGGTATGGCGTCTGCACAGGTAACTCAGGAAAAAAGGCGCGAAATGATTGTCTGCCCTTGCTTTCACGGGGGGAGGGAGGGAACGGGGGGCTGACGATATGTACCCAGAACCACCCGCAACAATGTTTTAGCCCCATCAGGCATTGGGATCTCAACCCAGAATTCCAATGGGCAGCAGAGACTGCGGGAACTGTGGGATAGCTACCCACAGTGCAACGCTCCGGAAGTCGACGCTTGCCTCGGTACTGTGGAAGCGCTCCGCCGAGTTAATGCACTTAGAGCATTTTCTGTGGGGACACACACACTCGAATATATAAAACCGATTTCTAAAAAAACGACTTCTATAAATTCGACCTAATTTCGTAGTGTAGACATACCCTAATAGTGACCAAAACAGGAAGGCACAAAAGGGGGGGGGGAGGGGCGGAAAAGGTCTCTGGAGTAGAAAAACTGAAGAGAACACCATGGCATGATTGTGTTCTAGGTTTAAATGTTTCTTTAACCATCATTTGTTGACAGTGACAACATTCTGATTGAAAGATAAAACGGATAGTGAAAGTATCTGATCAAAGTTTCTGAAACAATTCACTTTGGGAAACTGAGTGTAGAAAAGTTTAGCCCAAAGGATTTATTTCGGAAAGCTGTGGGCTTGTGAAAGTAAGGATAACATGCAAACTGCTATGTAAGATAAATTACTGACAGTGGTCCCAGACAGAAAGTTACAGCCACTCATACTCCAGCTATACCTTTTAAACTAAGTCATCCTCTGCCAAAACAGCCCATTTTACTGAAAACTCAACAATTAAAAAAGGTAGACAAAATAGTTAACTTTTTCACCTTTCCATAAAAAATAAATAGTTCAACATTAGCTTTTTCACAGAAAATTAATTCTCCAACTAAGGATTTCCTGAACTCTCAATAATGTAATGTCCCTGGCCAAGTGTTTGATTTGGGCAACAGCTAGCAACCCGAGTATCCTGGTCAAATTAAACCACAACAATGGTACACAGTAGATGAGGTGGTTACCAACAGATAGATCGGAAGATACTCTGATGAGCACTAAACTGTACCCAAAAGACCATTAGCCAGGCAGAGCAAGCAGCAAATGCATTTTACTCCTAACAGCCTATCACCATTTAAGAGGTAAGCAACTATGTTCAGCACTAGCTCAAGCTTCAGGATACAGCCCTCTTAAATAGAGCATTGAGCACATTACAGTTAGCCTAGTCCAGGGGTGGCCAACCAGTGGCTCCGGAGCACATGCAGCTCCTTCTATAGGCACCAACTCTGGGGCCAGAGCTACAGGTGCCAACTTTCCAATGTGCAGCGGGGTGCTCAACCCCTGACTGCCACAAGCCCTGCCCCCACTCCACCCCTTCCTGCTCCCTCCCCCCTGAGCCTGCCATGCCCTTGCTCCCCCCTCCCCTCCAGAGCCTCCTGAGCACCATGAAACAGCTGATCAGGAGGTGCGGGGAGGGAGCGGGCACTGGGAGCGGGGTTGATGGGGGGCTGCTGATGTATTACTGGTTTCAGAGTAACAGCCGTGTTAGTCTGTATTCGCAAAAAGAAAAGGAGTACTTGTGGCACCTTAGAGACTAACCAATTTATTTGAGCATGAGCTTTCGTGAGCTACAGCTCACTTCATCAGATGCATACCGTGGAAACTGCAGCAGACTTTCATATTCTCTGTGTATATATAAACAATACCTCCTCCCACCCCACTGTCCTGCTGGTAATAGCTTATCTAAAGTGATCATCAGGTGGGCCATTTCCAGCACAAATCCAGGTTTTCTCACCCTCCACCTGGATTTGTGCTGGAAATGGCCCACCTGATGATCACTTTAGATAAGCTATTACCAGCAGGACAGTGGGGTGGGAGGAGGTATTGTTTCATATTCTCTGTGTATATATAAAGTCTGCTGCAGTTTCCACGGTATGCATCTGATGAAGTGAGCTGTAGCTCACGAAAGCTCATGCTCAAATAAATTGGTTAGTCTCTAAGGTGCCACAAGTACTCCTTTTCTTTTTGATGTATTACTTTGGCTCTTTGGCAATGTACATTGGTAAATTCTGGCTCCTTCTCAGGCTCAGGTTAGCCACCCCTGGCCTAGTCAGTCACACAATGCACGTTTGACCACCAAAAAAGAAAAAAGTCTGCTGTGAACCACGATTTAAATTTGGTAACCTGGCTTTCTTTCAAAAGAGTTTTAACTATTAGAAACAAAGGTTTTTATACAGGCTTCTCCATCACAACAAACTGGAAAAAAAGTCATTCCTGTTTAATGTTACTTTCTCAAAGCTTCCAGATATTTAGTATGTTTAGTATATTTAGGTGAAGGCAAAGGAAGGCAGCCTTGCCCTCTGCAATGCAGCGGACGAGCTACTCTAAATGCACATTATCACAAATAGAAAAGGAGTACTTGTGGCACCTTAGAGACTAACCAATTTAT